TTATACTCTGTTTATTAAAGATCTGGGAATAGAAAGTACTCTTGTAAAATATTTTCATATATAAAAGAATCTATTGCATAGTGACAATTTGGTCAAAAGACCTAGAGTACCGTAATACAGACCTTAAAAAATCTTTCACAACCTGAATAATGAACACTCATGAAGATTTTCTGCTAAAATCTCCCCTCTGTTGAACAACAAAAGCACCACATACGCTCTCATTGAGCTCAGGAATGTTTCAAAACACAGGTGCAGCAGTAGACTGCATACACTCAGAACCCCATAGACTAGAGGCACTTGAATACAATACATGTAACAGTAACAATACAACAATGGTATCTCAACCTCTGAGGTTTTTTAACCGTATCCGTACGCCCTTGGGGTCATTTTGCACCCCCCGGGGTTGTATTCTTCACATTTTAGAATACTTCTAGTACGAAGATCCCTTTGAAACTTTCAGTATTTCTCAAAAAATCATTTTGACAGACTGCTATGCAAAGCGTACGGATAGGATTAACGAGTGAGGTCAAAGCTCAATTAGAGAGCTCTCGTGGTGTAGTCTTGAGATATGATGACCGCCTCTCATTCAATAGGTCCTGGGTTCGAAACCTGAAAAAGACGGGAACATTTTCTGCCTGCTCTCTTTGCTAGTCATACTATAATTTTATTATTCTGTCAACTTTGCCTCTCGTCTCTCGACACAACAGAATACCAGAAAAGGTTCTTTTCCGTTTCCCCGTACAATGTACAATGTACCCGTATTCCATCAAGTTAAGCACTTCCAATTTTGTCATAATAAAAATTTTCTTTGCAGAGTTGCCTTTTTATTTGACTAAATTGGAAAAAAAAAGATAAGACGTGACCATTTAAAAAAAACATAGGCCTATAATGTAATAGGTTGGAACGTTCAGGATTTCCATTTTTGTTTCATACTTTATATAGATTGAAATACAGTATAAAACGGATAGTTCAAATTCGGTAGTTCAAGGTATTCGTAGTTCGAGGGATATCTTACAAAGATAAAGAAAAAAAAACAAAAAAAAACCCCGGGACCGCAGGCACAATTCGATAGATGCGTGATTTCAAGTTTCCATGTTCAACCTATCCGTGTTATACAGTATCAAGCCGGACCAAGCACAACTTTTATCATTTATCTCATCAGAGTCAGAGTCACACCCCCCACCCCTCCCCCAGGGGCGGTGCCACTGACTGAAGTGTCTTTAGGCCATTCCCAAAGAGGGGACATTAAAATGTTCTTATGAACAGTAGAATTGTAAATGGGCTGATTCATCAATGTCATGCTCATAACTGTGCCTGAATTGCAACAGGGAACTGTGGCTCTTTCTTTCCTAATCCTTACTATTGTCATTTTTCCTCTACTTCTTTTGCACGTTTGTCACTCTCTTGTGAACTGCTATTTCCGGGGTGCCTTGATATTGATAGTCGGAGCAGACCTTGTGCTGTTGAAGCTAGAGAGGTGAGCAGAATAAGTCTGATTTCCTGTAAGGACTTCTCTGTTGACATCCACCCCTTGGCGCTCATATGACCTTAAGCAGTTGCGAGCGCCGTAAAACCTCTACTAAAACTAGCAAGAGTCAGAGTCAAACAGGTTTACAACTTCAACTACAAGTACAAACATCTCCATCTTGATTTGTCTAGGGTGCCTGACCACTTCATTTGCTGCTCCGAATAAATTGAAGCTGTACATCTGTATAGTGTTCATGGCTCTTCAAAAATAAATCCAGTTCCTGGAACTTTATGACTCATCCTAATAAATTGTTTAAAATTATAAAATAACAAACAAACAAATAAATAAATAAATAAATAAATAAATAAACAAATTTGTGTCCTGAAAGCAGCACGAACATTTTTGTCTTGTATGGCACAGAAAGTAAAATGGGTCCATTCCTAAATCTGCATGGCCTTTCAAAATGTGCCACCCCCCCCCCCCCCCCAAACCAGCTGACACTTGAATACACGCACTATTCAAATAGCAGCTTGTGACACAAACAAGTAAAGTCAAAGAAATGATAGAAGCACCTAACAGAAAACTTATATATATAATATATATTATACTCTGTTTATTAAAGATCTGGGAATAGAAAGTACTCTTGTAAAATATTTTCATATATAAAAGAATCTATTGCATAGTGACAATTTGGTCAAAAGACCTAGAGTACCGTAATACAGACCTTAAAAAATCTTTCACAACCTGAATAATGAACACTCATGAAGATTTTCTGCTAAAATCTCCCCTCTGTTGAACAACAAAAGCACCACATACGCTCTCATTGAGCTCAGGAATGTTTCAAAACACAGGTGCAGCAGTAGACTGCATACACTCAGAACCCCATAGACTAGAGGCACTTGAATACAATACATGTAACAGTAACAATACAACAATGGTATCTCAACCTCTGAGGTTTTTTAACCGTATCCGTACGCCCTTGGGGTCATTTTGCACCCCCCGGGGTTGTATTCTTCACATTTTAGAATACTTCTAGTACGAAGATCCCTTTGAAACTTTCAGTATTTCTCAAAAAATAATTTTGACAGACTGCTATGCAAAGCGTACGGATAGGATTAACGAGTAAATTTCCCCTTTGGAAAGTGGTGGCACAGAGTTCCCCACGTCGTATGGATACGATAGTAAAACACGACGTATGGATAGGGTAAAGTGGTGGCACAGAGTTCCCCACATCGTATGGATACGATAGTAAAACACGACATACGGATAGGGTCAAAATGATGTAGCTGTTTTTACACCCCCATTGACACAATTTGGACAATTTAGGGGGCAGGCTTCAGATCCCCCCCTGTCAGGTATACAACATTCCAGCAGAAATATCACATCAAGACACTCAATAAAAATTTCTCCCTACTTGGGAAGGGAACTCAAGTCTCCTGCATGCAACAGCGAAGTGCCTAACCGCTACATCACAGATGCCGGTCCAGCCTCAGAAATGTCAGAACAAACAGTTATAAATAAGAAAAGAGTTATTCCACCGTAACAATCAAGTAATCCAGAAAGACATCACATTTTGAGAAAGTGTCGCGGAAATAACATTAACATGTCAATAGAATGAGCAACAAGAGAGGCTTTTGTCATCAATTAAACAGGCATGGCACGGATATAATATACATTACATGGCACGAATATACCGTACATGGTAGGATATACCGTACAGTAACAAAAATGATAACACGGACTGCACAGGATCAGAGAGTTTTTTTTCTTTCTCCATGTTCATGATAATCAGCTTTCTTCATGTCATGATAATCAGCTTTCTTCATGTCCTCCACACAAAGAATAAAATTGGGCAGGCATAAAAATTCTTTCCTCTTACTGTTCATATCAGACGCCACGCCTTGCTGAACCTATTTTTAGTTAATAATAACACGTGCAGAGATGCCGCCTTTACAAACTGAAAAAGGAAACCATATGTTCAACCACAAATGGATGCCATGACCATACAGGATGAAGCTCAAGGAAGGATGTAGCTGTTCACTTGATGGCTTTCCACACTGCTGCTCAGTGGTATTTGAACAAAAACAAACAACAAAACATGGAATGGATGAATCGTAGCGGACCAAAATTTGATAATATTAAACAGATCTACTGGAATTTTTGATTGTGTACAGGGAAGCTGCAATGCATAGAATAAATAATTGTAATCCTTTCAGGTTGACAGAAATTTCATATTTTTAATAAAGTCTACTGTATAAAGAACATGCCAGAGATAGGAACAATTTCATTCAGTGCACAAGCCCTGACTTACAAAAGAAAAACAACTTTCTAACTCTTTTTTTTTTTGGGGGGGGGGGGGGGGGGGGTGAAATAGTACAGGTTTAATTGCTCTATCAAGTGTTTATCTTTTATTAATTATTTTTTTTGAGATAGCAATGAAAAACAAATATCATTTAGAACGTTCATCATCTGATTATCTTCACATTGCTCTTAATTGTCTCAGGGAGATAAAAAATTACTCACGCTCAGAGACAGGAATTCACTCCGAAGTAGGAGGAAACCCTTAACAGTACAAATAACGACCGGGCTCCTGTTTTAAAAAAACCCAACAAAGCAAAGTCCCATCAGTTTTTGTCACAATACTGAGGCATGCCCTTGTTCTCCCACTGGAACTTCCATAGGGCGTTGTTCGTGTGCTCCGTCACGTACACGATGTTGGAGTTTGGCTCAAAATGCACATTGCTCGGCTTGTCAAAAGGACACTTGATACGCTTGATCGGTTCGCCTCCGTCCGGACCAAACACTTCGATGTGCCCGGCACCCCAGTGAGCCACCAGCAAATTCCCCGCATCGTCAAAGTCCATTCCATCTGGGCCACCTTCTTGCTCACAATCTGAAGCGAAATAAAAAACAAAAACAAACTCGACCTAAGACAAAATGGCACTGAAGGGCTTTCAATGTTTTTCATTAATTTACCTCTTTCTCCCCCCCCCCCCCCCCCCCATGTGTTGAGCTGCACTAGAGTGCTAAAAAGGGTGACACGAGTTAAAATACATGAAGTTTCTATCACTGAAATGGCAAAGACACTTTTAGAGTTTGACAAAAATCCTCAACCCAGACCAGAACACTCGAGTTGTACCATCCAGTCACATTCTCCGCCAATGTGTTTTGAAATTAAAATGCTACTAACAAAATGAAATACAAATATATACTCTCCTTCATCAAGGAAGAATGCAACAAACCCTAAGACAAGATGGCTCACAAGAGCAGCTTCTCATGTTTGTACTTCCCTTTCATATCATGTGTTGAGCTGCATTTGAGCACTACAAGAGGGAGACACAAGGTTAAAATGCATAAAGTTTTTGTCATTGAGATGATAACAACACTTTTACAGCTTAACAAAAGTCTAGGATAAGACCTGTTGTGGACAGAAACTTGAGCGAAGATCAGATTGGATTCAGCAAAGGAAGAAGGATGCATGGATGCTGTATTCGCATTACGACAGCGATACGAGAAAACTATAGAGTACAACAAGGTCTTGTAATTAAATTCCTGCATGTAGTTAAATGATGCATCTGATGTGATAAGTACATTTTGTCAGCTTTACTTCTCTTTTCATATTGAATTTTAAAGAGAGAAATACATTATAATCTAAATTTTTTATGTATACCTGCATGTGTTTTTACGGTCATGTACAGCCAAGAAAAATTTCCCTCTGGGATAATAAAGTAATATCTTATCTTATCTTAGATCAGGAAAAGGCTTTTGACAGAGTAAACCATATCAGACTATGGAAAACACTTGAATTATACTGTGTTACAATATTAGAGGTCTCTTAGTTTAGTTTTAGTAGAGGTTTTACGGTGCTCGCAACTGCATAAGGTCATATGAGCGCCTAGGGGTGGATGTAAACAGAGAAGTCCTTACAGGGAATCAGACTTACTCTGCTCACCTCTCTAGCTTCAACAGCACAAAGTCTGCTTCGACTATCAAGGCACCCCGGAAATAGTGGGTCTCAAGAGTGTGACAAACATACAACAGAAGTAGAGGAAAAATGACAATAGTAAAGATTAGGAAAGAAAAAGCAGCCGTTCCCTGTCGTAGATCAGGCACAGTTATAAGCATTACATTGATGAATCAGCCCATTTACAATTCTGCTGTGCATGAACGAGAAATGTCCCCCCTTTGGGAATGGCCTAAAGACACTTCAGTCAGTGGCACCGTCCCGGGGAGTTTAGAGGTCTCTACACCAATGGCAGAAGCTCAGTAAGCCCAAAAGAAGGCAGCACAAACAGGTTCAAAGTAACATCAGGAGTAGCTTACAACAAGGATGTGTTTTATCAAATTCATTACAGCCGATTGTTGTTGTTGTTGTTGTTGTTATTGATCTAGCGGCACATTGGCTCCTGTCCTTTTGTCAAAGCTGACAATTATATAACAAAAGGAAAGAATCATGTGATACTTCGTCTGTGATAAGTGTACTGAAATGGGCAAAACTGGAAGAACTGTATTTGCACACATGACTGCTCCCAACTCAAAAGATGCACTAAATTCCCTGAGTAGAAGAGAACAAGTCACTATCTTTCGCCTGAGAACACAACACATTCCACTGCATTCCTACCTAAATAGGATCTGCAAGGATACCCCATCCGACTGCCCGTTGTGTGACTGCTCGGATGAAACAGGTTCACACCACCTCTTTCCCTGCCCTGCACTTAGCGACCTGCATAGTATCTACTTACCTGCCTCCCCAGACATCGGAAATACTCTCTACAACAACAAAACACAGCTGATAAAAACCTGTAAATTCTTTACCATATCGGCAGACCGAAGGGCTAGAACTCAAATGGCCGCTGGATTGGAAAAGTAAAGCAAAGTAAAGTATAAGTGCATTGATGATTTCATGTCACAAATACAAACACAAAACTAAAGCTGAACAAAATCATACCTGGCAATTTGGCCCATTTCGTTTTATTAGCGACAAGTCCAGGTCCTTGAATGTCATAGGCCAAGAGGAGTCGCGTCGGCGTTTCTGCCACTATAAGCTTTACCGGCCGCCTGTTTGCGTCATGAATGACAGCTATACCGTTTGGGAATCTAAGCCCTGTGTCCAAATGAACCACTTTTCCCTCTGAAGTCAAGCAGTAAATCGAACCAATACTTTCCTGTTGGGAAGATAAAACAAAGTTCAGTACTGATTTTAGTAAGGTTTTACGGCGTTTGCAACTGCATAAGGTCACATGAGCGCCAAGGGGTGGATGTCAACAGAAAAGTCCACATGGGGAATCAGGCTTACTCTGCTCACCTCTCTAGCCTCAACAACACAAAGTCTGCTTCGACTATCAAGGCACCCAGGAAATAGCAGTTTACAAGAGAGTGACAAACATACATAAGAAGCAGAGGAAAAATGACGATAGTAAGGATGAGGACAGAAAAAGCAGCAGTTCCCCTAATGTTGTTCCGGCACAGTATGAGCATGACATTTACAATTCTACTGTGCATAAGAACATATTAATATCCCCCCTTTGGGAATGGCCTAAAGACGACTTCAGTCAGTAGCACCGCCCAGGTGGGGTTCAGTACTGTAGGTGGCTTCACCCAATATGAGGTCGACAAACGAAATCTTTCTTTGTTTTTTGTTCCTTGTCCTTTTGGGGGGGATGCTTCATTTTAATAATCTTATTCACACCAGACAATCATTGGCTATGAGAATGTGAGGTAACTAAGAGGAAACAGCAAAAGAATATAATAACAACAGTGACTAGATCTATTTGTCACAATTTAATTTGATTTATCTATTTATTTACTTTTACTATTTTTTAATTTACTTTATAACTATCAATCATTAAAAATAATTTTTTTAAACCTTTGTCAGCTATTCTCGATTCCCCTAGGCTTGACCCAAAAAAATTATCTGACATCAGTGCCTCTGTTTTATCAATTAAATTGATGAACATATAATTGTAAAAAGAGACAAATGAAGCAAGAAATCAATGCATGGGGCAGTTCGACAGCATCACTTCCCTATTAAAAGAAATACATAATTGTACTTTTAATCCCTAACAGCATTGTGGGCAACATCTACATTATGTTCTTGGGGAAAGGCCCATTTTGTACATATGAACAGAAGGAACAAAGATTGTTCTACAAGATCTGTACTTGACAAACGAAACAAAACATTTCCTTTAGCGCCTGAGGGGACATCTGTCCTACTGTGTGCTAATACTGGGATGGGTGTGACACATGTATTTTAAAATATATATATATATATATG